GTTCTGATTGGCTTTGCAAACACAATAGAATGAGACTGGAACCAATCAGATTTGTCAGACTTGATTCTGAGCATACCCAGAGTGACGGGAAGTATGTGAATCGCGTACTTCCAGTGTTGGACATGGCCAGAGGTCGTGATTCTTGGTACTGACCGAAAGTGGCATGGCCTCTGGGGACGAGAATGATATACACGCTGCACAGTTCACACACAATCCACATTTCTTAAGTACATGTATGGTACTTAGTTATGTACATGTACACATAATATAGAATGTACATGTTTTTCAACAATTGTTGCACTAGAATATTGTATTTGTCTTTCTCTTGATGATCTTGTAAAGGGGATTAAAACAGTGTACTGCATAAGAGGGGTGTTTCACTGTAGGTGGAAGGCAGAATCAAAAATACAGTATCGCTCAGAAGAAACCTACAGTACTGATCAGAAGAAACCTAATAGGGAACGCTTGACAGACATGTTCTGCTGCCATTCCATGTGCGTTCCTGTTCCCATTCTTTATCCATTCTGTATCCATTCTGTACCCGTTCCACATCTGTTCTCTATCCATTCTGTTCTGTTCTGTTCCAGTTCTGTTAGTGTTCCATCAGTAAGTATTCTCGGAACTCGTTCAGAAGAACGAGGTTTCTGAAAACTCGTTTACAAGAATGCTTCCAAGGAATTAGCAACACTTGGTTAAAACTGTCGTCCTATGCAAGAATACAAACAATAAACTTACATTTTTGTGGTGAAAATCCAGTTACATGAAAAATTCAGGAAGAAGATGCTTTGTAACTTGAAGACCAGTGAGGGAGTCTTTTTCTAAAATGATACAAAGCGACTGGTAGTCAGTGTGTGATTGTGCGAGGAAAGGATAAAGTAACCAGCTTGCCAAGCACTTTCAACGCCATCGATGAAGAAATGTAAGCAAAAGACGAACTTTCAACTCTTGTGTTTACATGAATACTTTAAGTGAGATTTAACATTGAAGTATCACCGAAAACTGTTCGGTGAATGTGGCAGAAACTTGGCTGGAGGATGGGAGCAGTACTGCCAACAAGCCTTTTCCATCCATTTCCTTATTTGGATATTACTTGGGCTAACAAAATGGCCGCAATGAACACAAAATGGACGTAAAGATGCAGAGAAGAAGCTTGCTTAGTGCATGTAAGCAGAAAGGATATGGAATGGATATGGAACGGATACGGAATGGATAAAGAACTGGAATGTGTGTGGAAAGGCAGCAGAACTCTTTCTGTCAAGCATTCCCTGTTATGTTTCTTCTGATCGGTGCTGTAGCTGCCTGAGGATTTGACTTTTCTTGATTTTTTTTTAGGCACAAGAACCATGTTTGGTTAACTTGTTCTCTCTCTAGTGCAACCCAACCCCTGTAGTCTGACAACAACTGTCAACCAGGGGATATCACAATAAAATAGCTTGAGATTACACTATACTTAGTCTTCAAGACTTTGACTTACATGTATATGTAATTTTATCCCCAACCCTAGCCTCGATTTCCAGCCATTTTGGGAGTCCAGTTGTTGATCCTCCTTGGTGTGGGGCAAGGAACGCGGGCTCACAAACAGCTGGATATCGAGCCTACATGTACTCCAACCCCGAACCCCAGGAAAATGTGTGGTTCCAAAGAGACAGAGCTGTACTTGCTTAATTAATATGTAGAATTTGTTTTAGAACAAAATTACTTAGCTCTTATTAACCGAGCAGGAGGTCTGTATGGGAGAATCTTGACCGAGGTTGTGAGTACATACCGAACCCAGTGAGGTCTGTACACATAACCAAGGTCAAGATTCTTCCATACAGACTGACTAAGCTCGGTTAATAACATGTTTATTATATGGCAAAGAAGAAAAACTTAACTCGTTAATGTAACTGGTTTGTACTAGCTGGCATTTTGCTTACGAACAGCGATGACCTGAACTTAATCCTACCAAAGTTTGCTTGTCCTCTTTACCTTTTTTTTCTCATCGGCCTTTTGGCACTTCTATAAATAAATGTTGTTAGAAGAAAATAGTCAATGATTTTGCATTTTAATTGGCAACTTTTTCTTCACAAAACATTACCGGTCTAGATGGAAAAATCAAGACCGCTTTCAATTTCGATTTCAGCCAATCAAATTCGTGAATTTGGTAGTTCCCAGTCCTTGTGAGACACAGCCACGTATAGGCCTTTATATACCACTCCTTGTGAATATCACACCACTTGACGCCGACCAGTTTACTCAAGACTGTTTTTTCCTTATTGTTTATATCGTTGTTTAAAATAGCGTGTGACATTTTCTTATATTCGTTGGCTTGTAACCTGTATTCAGCGTGTCTCAGATTCTTGTAAATAAACTCAATCATTGCTGGCGGCTCCCTCCACTGTTTGTCGTATTACTTGTCTCCTCTACTTATAATAGAAATGTTTTCTATTTGGCTGAGTGCAGCAAAATAGAATAGAAATGTACTTAACACACCATCATACAAGTAGATAAGTGTCTTGCTGAGTAGGCGTTCAGTGACAATTCACCTTTGTGTCCTTAGGTTGTTCATTCAAGATTTCAGGACCTAGTTCCAGTTCATTTAAAAGATGAAGGTGACCCAGACTTAGACAGACCATCTGAAGAGGATATTGAAGAGGTAGAGCAACTGAATTACATACAATTTCTACAGGGTGCAAAACTGCATTTAACATATTTTCTGTTCTACTGGGTTTGTTCAAGAGGCCAAGCCCTATTAAGGCCTGGCTTGCATGCATGCATCTTCTCATGCCCTTCACCAGCGGCATGGTTTTTTGTTTGTTTGTTTGTTCTGAGTTTTGGCCAGATTTGATTTACCTGCAGCTGATCAGACAAGACAAACTTTGTTTTCACATTTGATGGTCAATTTAACGTCTCGTCTTGTCTTGACCGAGACTTGTGAAAACTCCGAACTTTCAAGAAGTTCACTGTCTATTTCACAGTCCAAAATATTTTAACTCTCTTCCTCTTGACATCACTGGCTCTTCATCTCAAGATTGCATCCTTTAGGAAAAAACTTAAAATATCTATTATCAGCCAAATGACTAATTCTGTTAAGCATACAAATATGGCTTGTCAATACGTCATTCAGGGATCCATATTTGCAGTCGTCCGGTCGTCCTTGACGACTAAAAGATCGTAGCCTGGACTACGAAAACAATACCAATACTCATGCGCTGGACGAGTTAAGTTTGACTCTATCAGAGAAAAAAGTCATTTCTTAAATTTGCTTATGAATTCCCTACATTCTGGCCACTTTTCATCCATTTGGAACTTTTAGAAAACAGAGAAAGATTTACAGCTTCCTTTCACAAAAATACACTGTATGAAGTCATCATTTTGGTTGGCCATCTTGGATAATGTGGTATTCTCCATCAGGGCTCAAAATTAACTTTTCAGCTTGCTAGCCCAGTGGCTAGTGACAGGTTTGGTTCACTAGCCAAAACAAATTTTTTAATAGCCAGACGCAGACATTTGCAAACATAGGCATTGATGTTATAATTAGAGTCGTCGCTTAACAATGAAAACCGAAGTTTTTTCTTCCGTGAGAAATTCCCACAGAACTTTGCAACTTTTCAAAATGCTGATTCATGATTTCTCATGAACACAACAATTCATTCCATTAACTTTATTTACAAGTTGCAAACATAGACATCGATATTATATAGGCATCATTCAAATTTTCGAACTACTGCGAATTTTTTAATTTTTTGAAAGTGTACGTGACCTCCAGATGCTACGTGCATCAAACATGATCCCTAGAGTTCTGCATGATTTCACACATGACTTACCATTAGCAGCAAGCAGTTCATTTGTCGTTTGTCACTTTTTAGTAAGGGAAAAAAACAAACAAAAAAGTCAATCATTCTTTCGCATTTTAGTAATTTAAAGGTCTGGTTTGCACCAATAAATTATAAATGATATTCATTACAGCCAATGTTTTAAATTCTGCANCACCTCCTGCTCCAGTAATGCATTCACCAAGTAGAAAGGTATGGTCAAGTACAGTGAATTACAGAAGCATTAGTCATAGTCATTTCAGTGCATCACTAAGTTTCTTATAAGAAAAGAAGGTTTTATCACCATTTCCACAAACAACATATATACAGCTTAATGAATTGCATTCATGTCAAATTTGAGTTGTTTTGCTTTGAAAAAAGAATGAAAAAGAAACGCAAATCACCTGCAGTAGAACACCACTTTGGTTAAATGCACATGTACAATGTACATTACACAGCTGTGTCAAATTGTGCCAGCAGCTGACAGTGTTGCCACCTACTGTACATGTGCAGTAAACTGTTTGTGCCTTCTTCATTCACTGGAGTTCACTAATCCTGACTAATAACAAAGCCATCACTTGACGATGACTGTCTGTTATTTCCAGCCTGCGACTTCAAATCATTAAAATATTTTTGTCCAGACACAGGATATGTGCAGTATGCATTATCAGTTAGAAATATGAAACATTTTCCATGCTTCTGTAGAGATACAGAAACATGAGTGGACGTTTGGGAAAATGAGAAATGCTGTCTGGGAACACAAGCTGCATGCGAGTGTTTCCACAGCTTTTTGAGTGGTCTAAAAAAACGTTTGTTTTATAATAATTTGTTTTATGATAATTTGATCAATACCTGGAGAAAATCTTTCTATTTCTTTTTTAAAACACTGCAAGGAAAGGAAGTAAGTTCTCCTTTCTCACACCATCATTATGTGAACAGCTCAAGTGTGCTGGTTCTGTTCTCATCGAATTGCACAAGAAAAATGTTGTTAAATAATTGCATTTGTATTGACAAACAGGTTTTCCCTCATTTTCAGGTCACTGTTAAGGAGCAGCAAGAGTGGAAAATCCCTCCCTGTATTTCCAACTGGAAGAACGCAAAGGTAATAATCACTGATAGAACAAATCTCACTCACAGCTCAGTTTGGTTATTGTTTTTATTTATTATTTTTTTCTAAATGTTTTTTTTTCTTGGTGGGGTGGGGAGGTGGGGGGTCCAACTGACTTCACTTCTTAAACAGTTTCTCATTCCACAAGATATTTGTCTGGAAATTATTTTGTTGTTGTTTGCAGGGGTACACAATTCCCTTGGACAAACGTTTAGCAGCAGATGGGCGAGGCCTTCAAGATCCGCATATTAATGACAAGTTTGCCAAGCTGGCTGAAGCGTTATACATAGCAGATAGAAAGGTGAAGAAAGAGTTTCTAATGTGTTGTCATTGATTTTAATAGTCTTAAAAGTTTTAATGGATTGTTATGTGAGTGAAGATTGCAATCAGGGAAGGAACAAAACAATTGAAAACCACATGCCCAGTGGGCTTGCCCCCACTAAAACATTACTTGCCGACATGGGCCAGTATGGAAATCAGTGGACAAATGCGAACAAAGTATGCTTGGATTCCTAATTAATCCTAACCTAATGGTTAACTAATCTTGCAGTCTTAAGTTCTGAAATAACTTCTGACTGGAAATTATCATTTATCAAGTTGGCATTTTTATTCAGACAAACAAGACTACACTGTGTACTGAGGTTAATTTCACTTGCCCACCGGGCCACTGTACTTTTACTTTTACTTGCCCAAGAGCAAAATTTACTTGCCCAGGGCAATCGGACCTGTTTTTTCCTGCCTTGGATAGCATTATTGCTCTTGATGAATGAGGTTTTGGTGTTTGAATACAGTAGAATAGGCCCTTTGCACAATCCAGTCACTTGGTACAAAATCACACATGCTGGGATGCAAGTTGCACACTGGGACTTCCAAAACAAAGCAACTCGTACCAGTCCACCTTGACCTGCCTTTGTTTTGAAAGTCCCACTGTGCAACCTGCATCCCAGCATGTGTGATTTTGTACCATGTGACTGGATCGTGCAAAGGGCCTATTCTGTTTTAACACCAACTGCATTCATAGCACCACATTATTAGTTCATTAATGGACCCTATTTTTACAGTTTTGTCTCTGAAAACTTATCAAACCAACTACTGTGTACCTCATTAATTAAGTCACAAAAGCAGTGGCATACATGTAGTTATTAGGGGATTGATCTCCTGATCAACTACAGTCGAATGTCTTTAACACTGACAGCGTAAGGCCAGAGCTGAGTGTCTGTATTATGGAGGTGCCTGTATTATAGAGGAATAGATTTATCTTTTTTTTTTCCTGTGGTACCATGTTAGCCTGCGGTAGGTAGCGTCTGCGATGCAGGCTAGCACCATGTGAGCTGTCCATGTTTCAGAGGTGTCTGAAGGAGAGTTTTAACTGTAGTCTGAATTCTGAAGCTGGCTTGGGTCATTTTGTCGAGTTCTGAGGCAAAACAATGCAGCTTTCACGGTTTTATTGTCCCTTCCCTTCCCAAAAGAAGGTGTTGGGGCTATGTAGGCTCATCAATATTTTAACAGCTTGCTTTATATCACCTTGACAATTAATTTTAGGATAAAAAGTAATTCTTGCCAACGTTTACAGCATTAATTGAGCTACTTGTCTCTACTTGGAACAAGAAATATTGAATAAATGTTGAGTTGGATTTTGAATTAGACCTTTCGTAGCATTAGTATGGAACCATCCATTAATATTACGCAATTTATCTGGGTCTGTCAGTGGCCATGTGCATAGACAGGTTTCCATGGTAATTTGATTGTCCTGCAAGGAAAAAAGAAGTAACACTGACGCAACAATGAAGATATATTTTTTATCTTACGTTAGGCTCGTGAAGCTGTGGAAATGAGAGCTCAGCTAGAGAAGAAGGTAGCGCAAAAAGAAAAGGAGAGGAAGGAGCAAAAGCTGGTGGAGCTGGCACAGAAAGCACGAGAAGAACGGGCTGGCATCAGAACTGCAGCAGGTACTTGTAACCTATAGAGTACTGCAAGAGGTATATGACAGTGTCATGGTCCCTCAATACAGTTACATACAAATAGCCATCTGCACGCATTGCTTGCCTGTATTCCTTACATAGCTAAACGAGAGGGGCTATAAAAAAGATTTACTAGACAGATTACAAACTTCGAAGATTTGAACTTCTTGTCTTCATTTTTTAAATTTTCCTTCCTCCCTGGATTTAGTCTTTTCTTCACTTTGACATAGAAAACTGAACATTTTTGTTCAATCAGTGGCACTATTAATCAACAATTAGCCCTCATCAAGGATTAAACTCAAGGTTTTAGTTTCTATCGTGTACAAGTGTCTTTCGTTTCTAATGGTTTGTGGAGTTTGAGATAAGTCAGCATCAAATCTGGAGAGCAGAAAAACATTAAGCTTCACTTAGAAGTCATGAAATTGAAATCAAAATTCACGCTCATTCTAAATTCGTTTAATCGTGCTTCAAACAAATGAGTTATGTTTGTCCTGTTTTACGTGCACTTTTCTTTTAGTGTTGCTCGTTGCCCCTGTTCTAACGATGTTTTGTTTCTATGATAATCCGCCCCTCAGACCGTTCAGAGGAGGAAAAAGAGAGAGACCAACTGCGTCATGAGCGGCACAAGGAAAGGGAGCGAGACAGAAGAATCTCAAAAGCTGCTCCAGACAAAAGGTAGCACTTTACCTTAATACTTCAACGTCTATTTTGCTCTTCTATAGCTTATACCAAGTGTTTGATTAGTTTGGGAGCAACGAGAACGAGATTAGCACTAGGAAAAGACGAGTTGAACTGAAATAGGCGAGCCTGGGTTTTTGAAAAAAAAAAAGGCACGTTTCTCCAACTTACAGTACACGTCCCCTTTCTTTTCTTTTCCTACTCGCTGCTCCATACGCAGTTCGCCAGCTAACCGAACACCTAAACCAGGCAAGCAACACAAACCAGATATAAGAGAGTGGGAAAATATAACCAAACACTATACTCCTAAAATTGAGATTCATCATCCCGGCAAGAATAGACTGTTCACAGCCCTCTGTTTTCTCGTAGTTTTATTCGATCGCTGAACGCGCGCATAGAATCGCGAGAGAGATGGACGTCAACGCAAAACGGAGGACTTGACTGGGTAGGGGGTGAGGACCAAGTGAACAGTCTAGGCAAGAAGAAACTCCCTCCCTCCCCTTCTCCTCCCTCCCGAAAAAAAAAATTATCATCACTGATGACGTAACTCTCAACCAGTCAGAAATGCCACAAGGACATACGTAACACCACGTCATTAGCGTGACGGTCTCTTTCCAATTTGTCTGTTTGTGTAGATTGTTTTGTGTGTTACTTGCACGGTGAAGCACGAGATGTACTTTGTAATCCTGGTTATTTTCAGTCCAAGTTTCATAAACTGAATGATACCATCTACTTTCAACAGATCTAAACTTCAACGTGACAAGGAGCGTGACATTAGTGAACAGATTGCGTTAGGCCTGGCCTCAGCCCCACCGTCTCAGGAAGCAATGTTTGATCAACGATTATTTAATCAAAGCAAGGTAAACCGCATTCAGATTTGCATCGAGGCTGCTCGCATGCTTTCTCCATGCACCACCCACCCACTGTTGAGTTTATTTTCTCTGTGTGGCTTCTGCCTCTCTTTAATGTGACTGTATCTCGTCCGTCAGGGCCTGGACTCTGGTTATGGTGGAGATGATGACGTGTATAATGTGTACGACAAGGCCTGGAGACGAGAGGGTAGCACAGCAAATGCTATCTACCGGCCTAGCAAGAATGTTGATCGAGACGTGTACGGTGATGACTTGGAAAACCTCGTGCAGACAAACAGGTGAGTTTCACAAGATGAGGAAGCAAACTCTTGTCGTTGTAAACCAAAGTCATCTACTTTATACTGGATTTCCACAA